TATAGGGTGACAGACCGTCTTCACTCAGAATAATTATTCACCATTGATTATCAATAAGATTTATCATTGAATTCAAATTTATCACATACTTCTTCAGTTTACAGTGACTTTCTCATTGACAAGGTACACTTGACACCTATTGTACAAAAAACCAGTACCCACTTTTTCCTTATTTTAGATATTATGATTAAGTTGTCAAGGACCTAAAACAAATCAGTTGTATGTTTAAACAATTGAGAAATTATTATATCTTTTTCTTTATTACTAGTAGTACCTATACTTTTTAAGTAATTTTCTTTTATACTAAAAAACGAATCTTTATTGAAGACATCCAATTTTGATAAGCTCCTCGACGGTAGATTCAATATTAATGAGATAACTTTAGTAAATATACCGTTGATTGGTATTTTGTATCCACGGTGAGTGAGGATTTTCACTTTAATTTGTATTTTCATCGATTGCCATATACTATAAAATAAAACTGATTACCCAATACTTTTGAAAATTGACATCACAAGTTGAATGTGCATGACTGCCCTTTCCAGGTTCGTTTCGCATGGCACTTATAGAACATGGTTGCTTATTTTTCCCGTGTGTTTTTCTGTTTTATTTTTACATATAACAGCAGAGCAGTTGCTGCATCTTGGACAATTGTTTCAAATATTCACCTCCGTCGCCGGACGTACATCCCAGAGACTGCACGTGTCGGTTCGCTTTGCTGCATAGAGCGGCGTCGTCCGAATAACCGTTAAGTATACATATGGTAAATGCCAAGACAAGAAATACCTAATAATAATTGCGTCACATTATCAGATACTGTGGTTTTCACTCGATCGTTGCGATTTGTATTTGATCGATTATTGGTTTTTATTTGTATATTATACAAGCACACACACGCATATAATAATAATATACAGTGAAACCTGTCTTAACAGACACCTGTATACAGCGAACATCTATATCTCGCACGGACAATGGGATAATGTCCCAGCAAAAAGTTAGGTTATATTCCATTGTAATAGGTAGAAAGCTGTCTATATATAACGGACATCTGTCTTATTAAGGACACTTTTTATGGTAACGTGTGGCTGTGGCTGTCCGTTATAAATAGGTTTCACTGTATTTATATTTTATATGCATAAATATTATACTTATACATTGTATAAGACGTATGCATTATGTACTGTAAAATTTGCCAAGAATGACAGAGAAAAGGTTTTAGACATAATTCGGTTTAATCCGACAACTTTATGCCATGATTAAGTAAATGTTATTGACAAATTTTACGGTTCATAGAATTACCATACTAGCACGGTGTTTCTTTTTCATTTTAGTTTTGTAGATGTGTTTTTCTTTTTCTTTTTATTTAGTTTGTTAAAATAATGTATTTAGTGTTGATTGATAATTATAATAATTAATTAATATACACATTACCTAATTCACATCACAGATAAACGTATAACCATATTTCAAGTATAAGTAACATTTTGAGGTGGAATAAAATTTTCAACTATAGGTACCTACCTAATATAAGCCACCATATCGTTCATTGAAGCTTAAGGAGGTGTTTTAATTGCGCTACCAAAACTTTAGCAGGCTAAAGCAGTTCTGTGGTGTATTGAAATAGTGTGTGGTGATAGTATAATACAGTATAAAACAAACTTTCGTGGTAAAGTTTTCCATTGTGTTGCCAATACTATGATGGTGGTAGCCGATAACTGAGATGACTTAAAATGTATTGAAAATGTTTGATCGAAATGTATAGATACTTTTTATTTTTTTATTCTTCAACAAGATAATGGGCCCAAGGAACATACTCGTGTGAGGGCCGAATACTTTTGTATTACATACCTATACTTAGGTATATAGTTATATATCACACAATTATTTTCCTATACTATAGCCTATAGGTAGTCGTAGTATGTACCTAATGGCTAATACTATAAGTAATAATTTTAATAGTAATTCATTATTTAAAACGCCTACTTACCATTCCTATTCTTCATTACAATAAATGTATAATAACTTCTATCTATATATTTTAAAAAATTATTCATATTTTTAAATAAGAAGACTGAATTATAAAACTCCATAAACTACCTTATCCCCCAAATTAGTTTCTAAAACGACCAAAAAATCTAATGTGTACCTAGGTAGTATAATAGTATATAATATATTGTCTGTTTAATATAAATTATAGTTTTAAATAATAACCAATATAATATTATCTATATATTTATATATGATAGATATTTAAATAGTAAATAACAATAATTACTTACTATGTACATTATTATTTTTCAATAGGTAATAAAAATCTTATACCATAACATTTATAATCGTATTTATTTATAGGTTGTATTTACTATTTTATCTACAATGTTTAAAATATTAAAATATCCGAAATTGTATTATAGTAAACAAATTGTTATTTTAAAATTTAGCTAGATTACTTAGTGATTCATTTAAATGAAAACAAGAATACAACACAAGTCTCTTACTAATCAATTCTCAAACTGTTAAAATGGCTTTTTGAGTTTTCTAGACTCTTAGTTTTAATTTCCTGTATAGTAAAACTATATAGACTCCCAGGGTCTTTATGCCATTATCCTATAATTATTTAATTAACTTAATTAAATCCAGCTCTTTATACGAAAATAAAGCCATAAAATGCTTATATAAGTCAATAAACAATAAATCCCTTATGGTGAATAATCAAAAAAAAATTGGCCATAAATTTCTATTAATATTATGTTTCTAATTTTCTATAGTCTATTGTCATTACTTGATTGTTGAGTTATACGAATAAATAAAAATCAAAGAAATAATAATATACATGCTAGTTGTGTAATTTACTATAAGTAAATAGAAAAATTGAAATACAATATATACATAGGTATCACATTTTATTAACTTCTAAATTTGTATATAAGACATCACAGTTTTAACATCCAGCATAGGTACATTTTAATATAAGTACCTATACAAAAAATGTTAATAACTATGAAATGTTACAATTGTATTATTATCAACCTTAATAAATGCTGATTTAAATACTTAGATTATACTATTGACTATTGTTTATTTTATAATATGATCCAGATAATATGGAAAGAAACTATAAACGAATTTTACGTAGATATAAAAATAAATAAGTGATGGACAGTGTTGTAGTCAAAAGATGTTTATTCGAAAAATAACCATAGCCACATAATATTGTTATTACTATTATAAAAAATATTATTTTTTTTACAAGTGTCACTTTTTACAGTGTCAGGTTACTATGACAACTATGAATAACCACACAACATTAAAATTGATTCTCTTTTAAAACTGATAGACATCTTTTTCATTTTGGTAAAAATATCTAAAAATATTGTCAGACAATATAAAACAAGAGTTTAAAATAAAACATAGTAGCAAGGTGAATTTTAAAATGTTGAACAAATAAAATACCTGTTAAAATTATTGACAATCATTGTACGATAAAGACATTAAATCATAAAGTGTAACAGTGCCTAATACGAGTACAGTCGACACATTTATACTATAATATATAATGATATTTGAACATTTTACTTATTGAGTGCTTTACTAAGTAAAGCTTTAAGACTTAAAAACTTAGATCAATAACTATAGTGTAAAAATGTGCCCAATACTAAAACAGTCTTGAATCGATATAATTTACTGTAGGTACTATTATGTATTTTTAGCTCGTAGGTATAGGTATGTATTATTTTAGTTAATATTTAGCAATTGATTCGATGTTCAAATAAAAGTTATTAAGTACTTTCATCTTATAAATGAAACTTAATTGATAATAAATAATATAAATCTGGTGTTTATTGATATTTATGAATAACTCAGGATCGAGTTTCCAACTGATGCTAAATTAATTCCTGTCGCTTAGTTTACATAATTTATTGCGACCGGAATAATTGTAAGTAATCACTTTTTAATACCTAGGTATCTATTCTTAAGATATCACATGTTTAGAGCACGTAATACGATATACAGCAAAATATTGTGCCGTTTCTTATGAGTTTGAATGCACAAACCGCACTGCCAGTGTCAATAATCCAACAATCAACTCGTCAATGTTATTGCCTATCCAACTAGCAAACAATCAAAGTTTACTTACAAGCACTTGTGCTAATATTATAATATCAAGTTTACAATACAGTGATATACGCGAGTACCTTTCTCATAGGCGGAGACGGCATCGGGGAGTGCTCCTCACAAATGATTCCCAAGACTAGATCCAATTTGCTTCCAGAAATAAGTAAATAACCACCCCCAAAGTTGAAGACTGAAGAGTTTTACTGCTCCTGTAATGGTGTTGACAAACCGGAAATCTAAAATAATTTGAACCGTTGATAGCAGAAGAATGATGACGATCAAATCTGTTTGTCCATTAAAAAAATGTTCGTTTCTCAGCTCCCTACATAATTATAACTAAATCCCCGCCTCTGTCTCAATATAAGTATTAAATAGACTATTTACGATCTTCCCTCAAACGGATACGGACCTGATTCCTGAAAGATGTGCCTGCGTTAGGTCGGGTGGTCAATTCAAGTAGGTATAGCTGTATAATATTATAATATTATGTTCGGCTGTATAAAATATTATATAGTTCGAGAAAACTAAGCCAATAACAATGTCACTAGGGGGGACGAGGTGGCCGAGTGGTCTAACGCGTCGGCTGAGGCGCTGGCAGTCGCGGGTTCGACTCTCGACCACCGGGCGGCATTTTTCTCCGGGCAAGTCACGGTGTCCGGAAAACAAGTGTCGCCATCCCCCCACTCCGGGGCATGGCAGAAACCTACGGGTGCCCCAATAAAAATTCTGCCACCACAAACACACGTGTTAACAAACCTACCGACTCCCCCTACAGTACCACAGGCTAATGACCATTAGTAGTTGAAGCCTTAACCCCCCCCCCAAAAAAAAAAAAACAATGTCACTCGCCGCACTTGTAAACGTTTTTTTTCCGTACAATATTATATTGTAATTATTATTGTTATCATAGCTGGTGTGGCCGTCCCGCACGATAATATTATATTATTATTTTTACGTTTTTTCGATGGTTTATTGAACCGCGACGTGTGCGCTTTTTCCAGAGACACCTGATGCGCTGCGGCCTGGCCGATCCGCTGGACTGGCGCGTCCGGAACCTGTTGCGGTCCCGGTCCCGCGTCAACTCGGCCATCTACATCAGTCCCGTCTACCAGGACGCGCACGTCCGAAACGGCATTTCGGTAAGGCCGATTCGGAAGGCCCAGAGCGCGGACTTCCTGCCCAAGTACGACTACAGCGGCTGGGCCAACTACCAGCAGTTCTCGTTGCCGCTGTCCTCCGGTCGCGGCGGCGGCGGCGTCTGTGGCGGCGGAGTCTGTGCCAGTGGCGTCTGCGCCAACGTCATCAGCGTAGGCGGCGTCTGTGCCAGTGGCGTCTGCGCCAACGTCGTCAGTGCCGGCGGCGTCGAGAGCACCGTCCACCAGCGGCACATGAAACAATTCCAACTGCCCACCGTTTCCATATCCATCGCGTCTGACTCGGATAAGGCGCTCAACGAACTGCTCATCTAAAATATGCACCCCATCGGGTCGTACGCTCATCGCAATGCCGATGCGACGATCGTGTTCCGATACGCACCGCGCCGGATCTCCGTAAATCTACGTTTACTTACATCGTGTACAATAATACCATAATAATATTATGTTATAAAATCATACATTATTATTTTGTTTCTTTCGTTTCGACGGCAATCTGGGTACTAGACCTATTCACACGATAATAGTCATATTACAGATAACCAGTTTTGACTAATGATTTTAACCCAATGTACCATTACCATATATTACCTGTACTTACTTAACTCTTTTCACACAATAACAAAACCATACCCTGAAAATGTACCTATACTAGAAAGCAGGTACCTACAACTTTGCAGCAAAAATAAATGATTAACGATGACAAGTAAATGTCGGCTGTTGCATTTTGTTTTTATGGAGTTGATTTATTAATGTCAAAAAAAATAATATTTAAAACGGCATTTATAAATGAATATACATCGATAACATTTCTGTATTCTGATTGGGTTGCAAATGTATTCTCTATATACTGCGGAAAATAGGACATGTTCTACTACAAAAATTACATTATACTCGCCAGTATGATTCCTTTAACCAGATACATTTTTGTAATTTACGTGAACCTAAGAACTAGTGTACAGTCTACCCACTAGAAATATCATAATAACTACTGTCGTGTGAAACAGGCTTAAGATACCATCGTATCAATACTTATTGTAACTCGCTGTATAGTCCGATCTTCTATAGTGTTATATATTATACAAACAGAATAATATATATATAGCCATATAGGCAATGCTGAGTCGCCTGCGTATCGTTTATGTATTATAATTTATAATATACAGTAAACTCTTGCCATGTGTCGAGGGGAATAAAAATAAGTTCGATGTATCGAGTTTTATTGTGATGGACGATGGTAATATTTTTCGAGGGGATTTCAATATTGTGTTGGATATTGCGAAAAATTAAGGTCACGGCATAATAATATTATATTATATCTACTGCATGACCATCAGACCAGTGAGACGTTTTCTGACAAATAATAATAGATAATATTATAGCGATAAGCGTACGTAAAACAATATTATCGTGTAATGGAAGGTAATAGAATTGTACTTTAGTACTTTTGTTGTCGTGTTCCAAAACAACGTAAGTAATTAGAGCATTCCGTGTGTGATATCAGTAACAGCATCTAATGCACGATATCATAATATAATACTCTTTTTTAAGTAAGTGTGAACAGTTAGTAGATAGGTAGTTGAATAATAGGTTGTAGGTATAAGTATGCATTATAATAACCATACACAACCATTAATTATAAATCATAAAAAAGGTATTGCATTAATCAATGCTAAAACACACAAACTAAAATATGTATTTAAAGTCACGTCCTAATCGCGTTACACTATATATATAGTTTTATTTCATTTTATTCAACAAAATGCTTGAAATGGGAAATTGACAATTGTTATAAAATATTTGATTAGTTAGTGAAATTCGACTCAACACACAACCTATAATATAATATTACGATTAAATTCAACATATTTTTTCCACACTACCTAATTTTATATAAATAGAGAAGGGAATCCTAACATTTATAAAAATATAATTTATATTCAATTCCAAATGTTCATTTAGATACTATACAGTGTGATTATTTTAACAGTAAACACTAATAATATATTTTTTTTTTTTTTGTAAACAATTTAGCCCTACATCCCTCAACATTTTAGATTGCTTAATGCAAGCGCGCTCGAGGGCACAGGTACTCCTAGGTAAAATTGCAAAATGTTCATACACAACCTATTCCACTCATGATGAATTTAAATAATATGTATATTGTATACTTAATTGGCTACTTATAAGTTTGATTTATACAACAAATATTTCAGAAATATATTTTGTGTAGGAATAACGAAAATTAAAATGATTTGGTGTCCTTTACAAATGTAAAAACTTAAAAAAGTATAGTTCAAAAACATTGATTCTTAAACCTAAAGGTAGGTTTATGAAAAAAATTTATTTTTGAGATAATGAATGTTAAGTGTTTACTGTTAAAAAAAATTGCCATTATATTAGGATAATGAAGATATAAGAATAGGACGTGCAGTCTGTACTTAGATGTTATGCAATTTCATGTTCATATGAAATAAAATTTCTAAATTCAAAATATAAAAATCTTAATAGGTATCCTCCATTGTGCTAGTTTCTGGAAGGTTTCAATTGATCAGTACCTGAAACGTGTATAAATATTCTCTTGTTATTAAAACCGTTATACGAATAACATGAGGTTTTGGAACAAATCGTACATAGTTTAATGTAAATATATTTTTTTACAATTAATTATTGTTTAATACATTATAATACTACTTTTTCTTATCTAGTATTAATTAAAAAATAAACCTTGATCTCTATCAAAGACCAAAGTAGGGTATTACAAAATTTATTTTATTTCATTGATTATTGTTATTGATAATTGATTTACTTACAAAGTATACTGTATACACATCATCTCTTACGTAAGACTTAAATCTACCTTTTTCAAAACCATGTACTAAGTAGTAAGTACTTACTTCTGCCGAGGATATTAAACAAAATAAAAATATAAGATGAAATAAGTCTGAATAGTTTGATAACATAATTAATGAAAACAAATAACAAAGTAATAGAATATATTTTTAAGAAATAATACATTCGTTTTAAACGTTTTCCTAAAACCAACAAGATAACAAATACAATTAATCTACCTATATCGGTCTATATATTATCTACCAATCAATTCACTTAGTATGTAAATCTTTTTTTATAGTGTTTAATAACATTTAAGTATTAATTATTATTCAAAATCAGTACCTAATCGAGTATTCATAATATTTTATATTTTAAATTTATTATTGATATAATTATTATTATTATATATTATTAATTGTTATATTCATTGATATATAATACATAATATAATATACTTGTTTTGTTTTGTTTATTAAACTTACCTTCGACGATAAGGGTCATTAACTTCATAACTGTTATAAACCTATATTATTAATATATTATATAGCTTTATATGTGTTTGACGTGTGTAGTATGTACCTATATGTGTCTTCATATATTTTACATAATCGAATATCGATATTAATAATTTTAAGCATAATATCAAGCATTTCACAAAAAAATTGTTTAAATATTTTTATGAAATATAAATTAAGCAAATCTAATATTAGCACATAATCGAATATCGATATTAATAATTTTAAGCATAATATCAAACATTTCACATAAAAATACCTTAAACATTTTTATGAAATATAAATTAAGCAAATCTAATATTAGCACATAATATTATAGGTATCTAATACCTACGTATTTGTATCAATATACAGAAATATAGCATATGAATATAATTAACTTAAAGTAAAACAATTAATCTGTCTTATAGTTTAATTGTAATTATTAATTATTAAATTGATAAAATGTGAACTTCAGTTACCTATAGTTTACATTTCATAGCAGGTACTAGGAATCTCGAATCCGATTGAATATCTCTGTTTATAAAATAATAAATTTAAGTTTAAAAAAACTTAAGTAGGCAGTATGTATGTAAGTTGGAAAGTATATCTAATCACCATTAACCATTAATAAATTAAACATATGTATAAACATAAGGTAGGTAAGAAAAAGTAATTTCCCCCAAAATAATTCATATTATATTCTTTTTTTTCGTACAAAATAAGGTCATAAATCATAATAATATATTATCCACGTTTAATCTTTTGACTGGATTCTATTTAGAGTATAAAGTAATCAACGATGTAGTAAATCATTTCAGAAATATTGTCTTTGTAAGTTACTATAATATTTATTATTTTCCATTTGGAACAAGACTTTTTCAACCAATAATGGAATATCATGATTAGGTATTTCTACACTCAGCTTTTTCAGAAACCCCGTGAAAAAATTAATAGACTTATAATAAACCCAGATAATATAAAATTTTCCCAGACTTATTAAATTATAAATTTTCATGAAAAATTAGTTATAAAAATTGCACTTCTGAGAATATTAATTTTCTAAATTTGAATATATTTAATTTTCTGCATTTCTGTAACATTATTATATAACTTAATAATTATAAAAAAAAAATTAGCTACTTCATCTCAATATTATCAGAGTTCATCATTTTATTTAAATTCGTTAAACTATGTTATTATATACAGTAAAGACCTAAAATATATAAACTTGAATATAATTAATATTTTGTCAAATGGTATACATTTTATTTGTAAAAAAAAATATTTTTTATAAAAGTATTTACATTTTTTTTACAATTATTAATTATTAATATAAACATTTATAACTAGTTATCAAAAATATAAACATTTTCATACTTTATAAATAGGTACCTCATAAAATACACAATAAATAATTATAATAATTTAATATTTATAAGTTGTATAGGTACCTATTTAGTATTTGGTTAAAGTTTTTAAATAGGTACTATTATTATAATTGTTATTATTTATTAATACCAATAATTTATATTGCATATGTATTTTTTTTAAACAGGTAGTGATTGAATTTTAGAAAATTAATAATTATGGATCATTAGTACCTATCAGTACAATTATAATTTAAATAGAAAAAACTAGCCAGCACAAAAGAGTTTATATGAATAAATATGATTGTTAAACGTATTATATAATATTTTATTGTACCTATGTTTAAATTTAAATTCATAAGTAAATAACTTACAGAAATTTCAAATATAGCCGTACCTACTCAAATCTAATAAATTACATTCTATCATACTAGAAAACTATCATAGTATAACAAACATTAATATTGTATAGAATTAGATAAAATCTATCCCTATTGAATGTTGAAACAGTTTAATAAAGGAACTGTATTATCATATACAATATAGGTACATATACAGGATGTTTCTGAAATGGATGAGGTAACTAGTATAGGCGTACTCAGTGTGATGGCCCAATGAAGATTTTTTTTCTATCTTCAAAATCTGG